CAAGCCATGGATTTCGACGAGCTGGACGCACTTGAAGATCAGGCCTTGAGTACGGTGATAAGTTTGGGTTAAGGGATTAGAGATTCGGGTTTAGGACATTGGGTTTAGGGACTGGGGTCTAGGGGTTCCCAAAATTAGGGGCACTTTTGGGGGGTCCCCATGATAAGGACTGTGGTATCTTGGGGTCTATATTGGGGTCCCCTTATTTTGCGAAAGTCCCACATACCAATATGGTGTCGTGGAGAAACGTCGGGACATAGTCTCCTTGCATATATGAAGATGCTAGGAGAATCATGAGAGGTCCCTCTTCATCAGTTTTTTGGGCGATTTTGGCATACTCCCATGGCAGGTTTTTCTGGGAATTGGCACGCACATCAGGCTTTCAGATGGAGGATTCGGTTAACGGTTTAGGGTTTACCCTAAGGCTCTAAGGACTCATATTTTGAGGCGTCTGGGCCCAAATACCACTATATAAGGCTATTTTGAGCTATTTTGAGCCTTAGGGTTTAGGGTTCTTTGGAGTTCAGGGTTGGGATGACGCTTGACCAGGAAAGGAACCTGCTACTTCATCAAAGACCTGGGTGTGGCCTAGTAGAAGTATGTGGTCTTACACTCCCAGAAACTAACATGGAAACCCAAAAAGACAGTCCTTCTAAAAGGGGACTATATGGGTTTTCATGTTAGTTGGGGAGGGTGTATATAGAAATTTACGCGGCATCATGGGTTCATAATGGAGAACCACACGGAAAACATACATGTAAACTCAAATGGAAATTACTACAGTATTTAGGCTTCTGATCGCATGAAGGCCAACATTCACCCAAAGGGTCCATGTGTGGGACTGTAGTAAATAGTTGGGCCCCAAAGTAATTACATGGGAACTTTGGGCCCGAAGTAAACACTATACACCTACTTCAAGACTTTGGGTAAGTGCCTGGGATGGAAGGAGTTGTCGCTTTCATTTGTTGGGCACATTTCTGGGAACAGCTTGCCATTGACTCGTCATGGGCATCGCGGAGCATCCAAATAGCCCAGGGTTTGTAGGGTTTAGGTACTATCTGTAGACTTGAGGCCCTTAGTTGGACTTATGGGGTAAGTATACTTAGATGCCGGGGGCTTAGCGCAGATGTAGACAAGAGACCTAGAAGGCACGATGATGAATTGCGGGATGCAAGAATGCCTCAAGAACTAATGGCCGCATCAGTCAGAAAAGCTGCAGTGTATGAACGTTTTTCAGCAGGCTCTAGGTGGTACACACTTTCAGTGAAGCTAACCAGGCGGCGGCTGCTGCAAGAGTCGTAGCATCAACTATGGATATGATCTTTGGTTGTATTCTTTCCATAAGGATTATAGGGGTTCTATAAGGATTGTAGGGTATATATTGGGGTTATATTGGGATAATGGAAAAGAAAATGGAAACTACTATTTGGGGTTATGGGATCTTCATTGTGGATCATACCTGAACGTCCAAATACCCACTCATCATGTCTTTTAACTCCAACACAACGGGTAGATACACTACGTTTTTTTATGGTTGTTTGGAACGCCTAGGCTTATACAACTCCCCCCCATAATTACAGCTCCCATATGTCCCTGTATCACCTCTATAACCCGTCGAAAGAGCCAAACGATTATTACACATCAGTCAGGGTCAGGGCAACCTTAAACTAATAACTCCTTCGCCCTCAGATTCCCTAGCCCTACTAGGCCCCACAAGTACGTAAAGTAATAGCCCTAAACCCCTAACACTAGCCATACAGGCCATTATTTTACATACTTTTGGGGTTCAGGTAGATCCTTCAACCCTAAGCCCTAAACTTTAAACCCACCCTTGTTTTGAGTTCCGGCCTGATATGCATATCCCTAAACATTGGACTCTAAACCCAAAGTTCCAAAGTATTCCTTAGCAGTAGCAGCGGCAGTTGCTGCCCTACGCCCATAGGAGCGACAGCGATGGGCTCTACAGGACCCGGGGTCGCAAGGGACGTCTAGGGTTCAGAGTTTAGGGTTAAGGGGCCAAAGAAAACAAGATTATCCAATATTACGCCCGATCATTGAGACTCAAACGAAGATAGAAAGTGTAAAAATGAAATGGCAAGTGGGCTTATACCGGAGTTTGTGGCTCAAGAGAAAACAGTGCTAGGCTCCTTGTGCAAGTATGGTATATAGTACCTCACATAGACTTCAAAGGCACTTCTTGTTTGAGGCCCGTGTGGCAGGTGAGGATGAACAAGGGTTTGGGGTTTAGGGTTCAGGGTTTGGGGTTTATAGGGATTTCAGGAAAATGCGGCTTGGATGTAGGCAAGAGAGATCGGAGCATGTAAGTGCTCTGATTTAGTTGGTGGCAGGGAGTATGTAGGGCAACTCAGGGAATACCAGCAGTTCTCGACAAACGATCAAATGCAACATTGATATGGGAGTTTCCCTAAATAGGGGGACCCTAACATAGACCCCAAAATACTATAGTCCTTATCATAGGGAACCCCATAATTTTGGGAAAGCCCCATATCTCCGCACAGTCCTCACCTTGATGGAACTAACGCATGCCATGCCTCACGACTTCGAGATGCTGCTGTAGCTCTGTATCAGCCTCTGTACAAGCACCTGTGTAGACCCAGGTTCCATTCCATGCTCGTAACCCTAGGCCCTAAACCCTGCATAACCTAACCTGTGGACTACTGGAAGGTATCAAAATTACACATATCGGCACAAATAGCTGAATAGCTGAAGGGGAAAGGCGAATTATTTTCAAAGGTTGAATGATCAGCAACAGGCTTACAAGTTAACCCGCTTCTCCACGTACCCGGGTAGAAGACATTACTGTCTCAGGACTTTGGAGCGATAGTTGAATCATGGGCAAAGATCAGCAATCATCAATTGGCCTTTTTAGTCCCTAGAGAAGTCCCTAAGACACACCCCCCCCATAATTCCGTTTTACCTTCACATGACTTTGCAGACCTTACTTAGAATGGTGCATCAGGAGCTTGAGAAAGCGCGCGCGGCTCAGCGAAAGAGAGCTGCGCAGGACTGGATGAGCTTCAGTCAAAACCACTTCTGTGCCGGTGGGTAGCTTCATGGGTTGCCTTACTTGCCCCTATACTCCATAAGCTCCCTCTTAATAAGCTCTGGTTAGCCCTGCTTCTCCCTACATGATGCAGACCCATGATTAATAAACCCCCTCCCCTCAATAGGGATTATAATAGGGATCCTAATATTAAGGCCCTTAAAAGGAAGAGGCTTATTGATCATGGGTCTACATTAATCAATCAAAGGGGAACTTTGTGAGGTGGTAGCAGTAGCAGGGGAACCCATGTAGCTACGAGGCGGTCATCCCTATAGGAGGCCGCTGTGCGTATAGCTACGGTTTAGGGTTTAGGGGGTTTAGGGCTTAGGGTTTAGGGTTTAAGGTTTAGGGTTAGGGCTCAGGGTCATTTTTGGAGGTGCCAACTTGTCAACTACCCATCTGAAACTAGCCTTGAGTCAGGGTTGGTATTGGCACAGCTGCTGCTACTGCGTCCAGATGAGCTATAGTCTGCGTCCAGATGAGCTATAGTCTACACTTCTTAGAAGGGGTTATATAGGGTATTATAGGGGACGATTATAGGGTTATGAAGGGGGATGCTAGGAGTTTCGAAAATAGCTCAGATGATGTTCTGGGCATGCCAGAAGGATCGTCACGCTTTGTCAGGCTTGCGGAAGAGTCATGCTTGAAGGTTTGCAGGTTTGCACCCACGAGGTCATGCCGCTAAAAGGTTCCCCTAGCATGGTCCCAATCTAACGGTGACATGAACCAAAGTAAACCCCGTGGGTGCAACCCTGAATCCCTTGATCATTGTCACGTTAGCCTCCACTTCCTCACCTCAAAGTACACTCTCGGGTCCGTCATCCAGTATCGCTGCACAGTCCTGGTGAAACGTAAGCATGACACCGGACTTCCAATGCATTTCCTGGTTCTTCTTCTTCTTCGCATCTACCCAAGCTCCATACCACAACCTAGAGTGTTACATTTGGTTGAGCTCAGACTTCTTATGCAAAGCATGAACACTGAACAGTCCGAACATCAAGGGATGACATGACCCCAGACTCTGAAAAATGAACCCGGAATCAAACTGCACCAGTTCATTCTGACTCTCCAGAAGCTTCGGTAAGCTCAGCCCACTACGTAGACAAGGTACAGCCAAGCAATAAAGTAAATGCATTCCAGGAACAGCCCTACAGTAACTCCAAAACCACCCTGCATGTTCCAGGAGCAGTTCAGACTTGGACAGGGACACCAGCATTCCAAGCCATGAACCCAGCTGCGGAAGTTTGTTGTCTTTGCCATTTGGTTAGGCGAAGAAAACTCAGCCTTCGTAGAAGTCTTTCTGTTGGTGCCTAGGCTATACTTGTACTGCAGATACGATTCTTGCTAATGTTCTGATCACTCTTTTCTCCCCTTGTTATCAGTGGCGCAGTAAGACTACAAACACAGGCTCTGTCTAATGCTTTTCTGTTGTTACGTTGTCCAGTCAAAGCGGGTGCGGGGGTCTAGGGCACAGCGACGTACAAATGATGATGCCTTTGACAATCAGTTGTTCAAGAACCGATATGGACCTCAGAACCTCAAGCCCTATCTGGGAATTTCCCAAAATTAGGGGCGCCATTTTGGAGTCCCCATGATAAGGACTATAGAATCTTCGGGTCGATATTGGGGTCCCCCTATTTTACGAGACTACCATGCATTCTTGCAGATGGCACTCCCTACAAGTTCTGCCCTGAAGCAACAAGCCTAATCGCTATTTGCAACTTCCGGATCCATTTCGATTTATCGGTGTATGGGCATGTCTAGAACAAGATGCACGTTCCGGCATCAGATTCTGTGCTGCAGCTGACCAAAGTTCACGAAGGCTGGCTGGTGCGCAGAAGCACCGCATCCAAGTGAGGTAGCATAGTAGCACTGAAGGCGTGCCAAAACGGATGCAGAAGCTGGAGGACGACGATAACCTTCACCATCAGGTGATATGAAAGCCCTACGGCAAAGAGCTCCTGCCGCACCCGAAGCTGTGCCACAGCTGATTGAAGCGCTCCAGGGACCAAGCGGCTTGATGCGCAAAGAGGCACTGAGCGCGTTGGGCGCGATGGGTCCAGCAGCAGCTGAAGCCGTGCCGCACCTGATCCAAGCGCTTGAGGATGAAGACTCTGATGTGCGCAGTAGCGCCGCATGGGCCTTGCATGAGATGGGTCCTGCAGCAGCTCAATCTGTGCCATACCTCATCCAAGCGCTTGAGGACAAAGACAGTCATGTGCGCGATAGCGCTGCATATGCCCTGGGCAAGATGGGTCCCGCAGCAGATGAAGCAACCACACAACTGATCGGAGCGCTCCAGGACAGCGACCAGGTTGTCCGCATAACTGCTGTAGATGCGCTGTGCCATCTCGGCCCTGCAGCAGCTGACATTGTGCCACAGCTGATCAAAATGCTCGAGGAGGAAAAAGAGTTCGTGCGCAGTGCAGCCACGATGGCCTTGCGGCATATAGCTCTGGTAGAGGCCGAGGCTTTGCCAAAGCTGATCAACGCGCTCCAGGATCAAAGTGGGATTGTGCGGAAAGGCGCATCAGATGCGTTGGGCCGCATGGGTCCTGCAGCAGCCGAAGCTGCACCGCACATGATTGCAGCGCTTGCGGACCCAGACGATGATGTGCGCGAAAGGGCTGCCTTTGCCTTGCGCCGTATTGGTGTTGTGGCAGCTGCCGCTTTGCAACAGGAAATCAAAGCTCTAGAGGACGACGACTGGCAAGTGCGCAGAAGGGCCTCCAATGCCTTGGGCGAGATGGGTCCGGCAGCAGCCGAAGCCGTGCCGAATCTGATCAGAGCACTCCGGGACTGCAACAAGGATGTTCGCAGCAGTGCTGCGGAGGCCTTGCGCAGGATCGGTCCTCTTGCAGCTCAGGCTGTGCCGGAGCTTATGGAAGCACTCCAAGACCCAGACGGGATCGTGCGGGCGCGTGCTGCAGAAGGCTTAGCCGCGATGGGTCCCGCAGCTGCTGCCGCTGCGCCGCATCTAATCAGGCTGCTCCAGAGCCAAGATCAGTTTGTCCGTGCTCAGGCCGCCGATGGCTTGGGTAACCTGGGTCCGAGTCCCGAAGCAGCTGAAGCTGTGCCACAGCTGCTGCTGGCCCTTGAGGAGGAGTCGCTGCATCTTCGTGGTAGTGCGGCTAGGGCCTTGCTCAAATTGAATCCTGTAGCTTTGCATCTGGAGGAACTTGTCCGGTTGCTTTCTGGCGCAGATCCGCAAGAGCCTGCTCATGGTGTGCTCTTGCAGCTTGCCCTCTCGGGTACCTCCAAAGGCGAGGCTCTATGTGACCCAATTGTTGCCACTGCTGTGCCAAACGCAATTTGGTATAGTGACAGCGCTGATGTGATGCGGGCTGCAGTTCAAGCGCTGCCTGAAATCAGGAAGTCAGTTAGGCTCAGTGACTTCCAGCTGCGTGGCCTTGTGCAGCGAGCTTTTCGGATAGTACCTGATGCCGTGGTGGAATGCAAGCTTCATGAGCTGCTGGGCGTCACTGGCTCTGCACACTCAGCAGATGCACCGCTGAGCGTGGCAGACCCTAGTGATCGTGATGGCATTCAACTTGTTAGCGAGAGCGAAGGTTCTAACACTGGCGCCACAGCATTGCTCTTGCAAAAACCTGGCTTGATGAATGCCCAGCCATCTCACAAAGGCGAGGGCTTTGTTGGATGCAGTGTGGACAGCGATCACGTCTCTCTGGCTCATCGAGCATGCCCGAACCTCACGGTTGCTTCATCGTCAGGATCATGGGTCGATTGTGCGAAGACTGCCTCAGAATCATCATGAAAGTACCAGATCCTCTAGCCAGCAGACGGACTTTCAAAGAGCTCCATGTCTTGGGCCTAGTGGATTGCAAGGGTCATTCTTCAGAAAGACCAGTGAATCTCAAGGCACCTCGCTCAGACCTGAGGCATACAGGCTGCACGCGGATGGTCTCGAACTGTTTGCCAGTGCAGCCTATTTGTACAGCAATGTCAGTGAGCAGGCCTCAGGAAAACTCCACTAGACAGATCTCAAAGTGGGCACTATCATGACCCAACGCCCCGCTTTAGAAAGTTGAAGCAAGTTGTTTTGGTTTTGGCAACTCCTTTGCGGCTTCCAGGTAAACCTGTGCAGCGTTTAAGAAACGGCTGTTGAGGATGCAAGCCTGACTGCGCTTCCCCTTAAGGGTCCAAGTACCTAATAATCATGTACTTACCCCAAACCTGTACTATAATTACTATTACCCAAAACCCAAGTACCTAATTATTGGGTCCTTGGACCCTTCGAGTTCTGCAAGCTAGTGCACTCCTGTCTTACCAGCAGGATGACGCTTCATGGCCTTGTGATGTGAAGCCGCAAGAATGAGGAAGAGCAACCCTTGATAGTCTCAACATGAGTACTGAAAACACTACAAGATTCCACAAACCGTATTCAAATGATTCAGCGCAAGTAGGTTGGCACCATAATCCCCATCGTCGGGACGCACATAGGAGCTATGACTTTGCCTCCGAAGGAGCCTGAATGCTAATTACACGCTGACAATTATAATCGCTACTGCATAAACCCTAGCTGCCCGAGTATGCCTACATTATTGCAAGATTTTCTGTAATGATGACTGTTTCCTTGATTGACCTCCCAAAAAGGGACCCAGAATGTCTGAAGAACATGTGCCTTAAACCCTCGTAAACCTTAAACTTTAAGTGAGAAGTTCGTACATGGCGGAGAGGACTTCAAACCTGATTCCCAGGCCACCGCCTCCGCCTGAACCTGCGACAGAAGAGGTGCCAGAAGCGGCGCAGGCAGGAAGCTGCTCAGGGGGTGCTGTAGCAGGCTGAATACTTGCCTTGCCAACTGATTGTCAGCATCATTCCCGACTAACCCTTGTACAATTATAGCATAACATATCCCAAAACCCTACTCTACTCATTTAGGCCCCAACACAAGGGTTCCTATGGGCTTAGGGCTGGATATAGGGTTTTTCAAATCAGGGTTTCGGGTGTGCCCCGGACTGCACATATTTGCATGGATGTGAACTGCTACAGAGGTCTCGGAGTCTCTGGAAGTTTCGGGTGCTGTTTTGAGGGGTCCGTTTGCAAAGCCTTTTCTTTTTTTTGTTGCAGCTGCCCTATTCAGCCATGCAAACGATCCTCGGGGCCTTGCCTCTTGCAGAAAAAAACAAGAACTTCACTTCTGAGCGCTTGAAGAGCAATGATTGTTTAACTTGAGTGTTGATTGGGAGCTGTTCTCCAGGTATAGCGAAACATGCACCTGAAAACTGTTCATACCATCAAGTTGTGCCGCTTCCCGACAAATCCTAGACCCCAGCAACAATGCTTCTTCCAGAGCTCAGCACCTAAAGCCATATATGGTGATTTCCCTAAATAGGGGGACCCAATATAGACCCCCAAATGCCATAATCCTTATTATGGGGACCCCTCAAAAGGTACCCCTAAAGTAGGAAACCCCCATCCATAAGCACATGCCAGGCATTCACGTCGGGCCTGGCCAGTTGGGAACCCAGCCATTCCAGAACCTCGCGAGCCCTTTCAGTAATTATGTGTAGCCCTAACCCTAGGGCTCCAAATAGCCCAATGTAGGTACTATTTATAGGTACTTGGGCCCAATGTAGGTATTGTTTATAGACATGGAGGTCCAGGGTAAGGCTCCCAGTTGCCCCAGTTACCTAAATAGTAGGTCACTGGGGGCTATGCAACTATAGGGGTAAATAGAACCCAGAACCCATTCTTTAGGTAACTGAGAGCCTTAGCGTAGTATTTGGGGCCTACATTGAGGCTGCCCGTGTATGGAAGCCTCCCAAATATCGTACATTCTTCCTCACTAAACCCTAAACCCTTTGGGTTTAGGGGTTCAAACTCGAGGGCCGACGCGTAGGCTTGGTGTTGAACATATAACCCAAGGGCTCCAGTTACCTAAATAGTGGGAGCTGGGTTCTATTTACCCTAAAGTTACATAGCCCAGTAGCCTACTGATTAGGTAACTGGGAGCCCTAACTGGGAGCCCTAGGGTAAGGCATTGAGGGTTGTTGGCTTTGTGCTTGCCCCTCTCAACTATGAGACCCCAAGAGCAGCCCCAAGAGACGATTTGCTGTTCCTTGAAATGGTAGTTTCCCAAAGTAAGGGGACCCCAGTATAGACCCCCAAATACTATAATCCTTACTATGGGGATCCCCAAGAAGGTGTCCCTAATTTTGGGAATCCCTCAAATATTGCCTGCACCAGCCTCCAGACTTGTTGGTGGAGGCAAGGCGCGGACGGGCGCAGGTTGAATTGTGATCCTGAGAGTTCCCGCGCTGCGTTCCGTGCAGCACTCATGGTCCAGGGTGGAGTGGCGATGTAAGCCATCGCTACGGAAGTGCTTCGAGCAGTTTTTTGAGAAGAAGGTTGGCCAGAGACCCGTAAAGCCTTTACGAAAACAGTCCTAGTTGCCGACAGAAGCTGACTCAATTAGATACATGAGCCTTGAGGGGTAATGCAGTTGCTGGGACGAAAAGGATGCATCCTACCTTGCCTCAGAATCTGGGATTGGACTGATGGCTTCAGTGTTGAGAGCACATTTGTGTCCAAAACCCCTTTACACTACCCTTTTGTCGCGGTGCCGAACTTGATGTTCATTATTGAGCCCTAAACCCTAAACCCCATGGTTTACAGTGTGCCTGCAAGTTCTACTTGGAACATTCATGAAGCTCCAATGAGTTGCGGAGCCAGACAATTCACAACGATTGTGATTGAACTATCTATTGATGGTTGAGGTTTTAGGGTTTGGATGTTCACGTGATATACCCAGACCCGTGTAGTACTTCCCGCGCACCGTAAATCCTAAACCGAAACCCTACGTGCTCTCCTTGCATTTTACTCTCGTATCATGCCAGGTAATTAAAAGATCCACCCCAAGGTCCAAGGACCCAAATAGTAGGGTTTTAGGGCCCAAATACCATTAATATTATAGTATTTGGGCCCTTAAACCCTATTATTTGGGTCCTTGGACCCTTAAAGCCATAGTCAGTTCAGCATTTCCAGCTACAGGGATCATCCTCAGAACTCCAAAAACCTCCGAAAAACGCAGCCCTTTTTTTTGTAAGATTCTGAGCCCACAGGAGCCTCTACTCTACTCACCCCTTATGAGGTTTCCTAAAATTAGGGTTTAAGGTTTAGGGCTTCGGGTGGGGTTTCCTAAAATTAGGGGTACCATTTTGGGGTCCCTATAATAGGGATTATGGTATTTTGGGGTCTAGATTGGGGTCCACCTATTCAAGGAAAGTACCTTATCATCCCGTTTAGACGGCCACCTTGCTAGGGTTTGGGGTTCGGGGTTTGTAGGTCAGGTGTGCGAATACACACAATTCCCCCTATGATGCAACTTAGTCGGGTCTCTCGAAGTTTGTACGCGCAGCAGGTTAGAGGGGTAATGTAAGGGCCTACATGAGTACCAACCCTATAACCCTAGATTCCCTGCACGAACATCGCATGAAGTACCTCTAGTGGACCTCAAGATTTATGTTGGAAATTATTCAGGCGTTCTCCCACTTCTCCATAGGAACCTCTATGTGAGCCCAGGGCGGTTCGTAGGACGCGCAATGTTTCGTTGATTAGGGTCATGTAGGGACCCTGTAGTTGCCAAATCGCGCGGACTTGGCAGTGCGCAAGCTGTAGAGAATCCGCCCGGAGTTTACTTTTGAACGGAGGGCGGTTGTGTTGTGAGAGGGCGACGAGGTGCTGTTTCATTAGATAGAGAAAGTCCACAATATTATTTGGAATTCCTCCGTTGGAATTTCAATTCAGATCGAATGACAGCCAGTTGGAAGTGACATGACATAAATCAGGTAACAATCGAATTGCTACCAGTTTACAACCTGATTAAGATTAGCTCAAACAGTATTTAGATCAATAAACATCGCATTCAATTAAACAAAGAACTTAACTAAAATCAGCTGAACAGCCATTCGGGCAAATTTCAAGTGTCAATTTGAAAAAGCGCACAAAACAGTTTAAGGCCAAGTAACAGTCGTATCTTAAACAAGTTAGCAAGCCAACTACTATCGATTCCCAATTCCTCATTTTCCCATATAACAATTTTCAGACCCCCGCGCACCTAATTCAATATAATGGGAAACCTCACTGGCCCTTTCAAGTGAGATTATTATTAGTGTAAGCGATCAGGAAAATTGATGAGCGTATACATTGCGTGTCCAGATTGGCCGACCAAAAACTCGAGAAAAAAAAGAGGTTGTGTAAGCACTATAGTCTAAACTCCTCCTAGTATCCTCCTTAAGAACTAAGAACCTCAACAATCGTCCACTACAGCTCATATAAGCCTGGCTTTGTAAGCTCTGAGCTCCAGGCTTCCACCTCTGGGCGCAGATGCAGCGCGAGGCGATACTGAAGCCGCGGCCTTAGGATTGCAGGCTTCTCAACAAAGGGGCTTACAAGGTGTAGGGATTAGTACGTCGGGCTTTTAAGATAGGTGTTCTTCAGGGACCTCGAGGATGCATGGGATTACGGGGAGGTTGATGGACCCTTATTTAGGATATTTTGGGCGCTGTTTTAGACAGCCGTCCGAGCGTTCAGCGCCGGGGATATTTAGGGTTCGGTGAATTTGGGTGTTTAAGGTTCACAGCTTTTTTTGTCTTCAGGGTCGGGGATGTAATTCTTTGGATCTGGGGTTGTGGTTCAATGTTTAGAAGCGGAGACTCATGAAGAGCGCAGCATGCATGCACGGCGGTATCA